GGTGTTTTATACCAGCACCATTTCCTTTGGGTCTGTTCTTATCCATGAGCAGCGTTGCGCAAATGTTTATTTTCCAAGAGTTTCCATGGGTGCTATCTTTTATTGGACCAACTGCATGGTTGTATAGATTTAAACAAACATTTGGGTATCGCCTGGTTCCTCAGGTCTCTGGGAAAGACGCAGGCACAGCAGAGTGCTTTTATTTTCCATGCACTGCTTTAAAATTGAGCGAACACTTAACAATGCAGCTCCAGCAGTCGAAGTTAAACAATCCAGCCTGAACGTTTTGCGAAGTCAGTATTGGCTGTTCAGTGAAAGGATTGCCTAATTAATTCAATAGTGCTTATTTTCCCCAATACATTTCTATAGGAGTGAAACTCCCCATGCACATAAAGCTGGATTCATAATAGGAAATCCTGAATTGTGATTGATTTTAATTTTTCATTCAACCCATGCATCTGAGCCACCGCAGGTGTCTCAAAAACAATGACTTCATGTACTGCCTGCCTGGCAAACTCGTTAGTGGAGTTTAATTACTTGAGGGCAACTTTCTAGTAAGAGGCCAGAATGTGACCATTGTTCGTTTTCTTGCTTCAATTTAAGGTATACATCTGTTAAGGGGAGGATTGCAATCTTACTGATGTGTGGGGGGAAGCAGATTTACCTCCACTGTAGATTTCATGGGTCTTGTAAGTGTCTTATTATTCCAGCAACCTTTTAAAAGGTATCAAGATGGAAAAAATAATTGTGATGCGCACTCATAGAGGAAAGAAGCCGGGAAGCGTAGTAAGTTTCTCTTGATTACACTTGTATCGTTACCAAGGTACAAAGAAGCGTATCAGACCCCGAGGGAAATATTTTGAAACCAGTTAGGATGGTAAATTAACCTTGGTGTCAAAATAGTCTAGAATTAAGATTATTTGTGGCTCAGTGGAGGAAAAAATTAACATTAAACAGCTGACGTTTTATTTTAGCATTTCTGTGACAATGTCTTTCTTTATAGTGACGGTCCAAAAATCACTGTCGTTGAGCCACGTTGCTTTGCTAAGCTGGTTCTGGATGCTACGTTCCAGCCTCGTGGACCCGATTGTTGCAGTAGGGTCTTCGTGCGTGTTGTGCAGCAAACAGGAAGCACTGAGCAAAAGTTGGGTGAACTGTCTCACTGCACAGTGATGTCTCAGGCTTATACAGTGATATATCTGAAATACAGCACAGCATGGGATATTGGCCCAGTGGTCCCTTTGGGTCTATAAGGCCTTTTTTACTCCACATTGCATCATGTTGACTTTGGCTGTCTGAGAACTAAAGTCGGTCCATTGCAGTGGTCATGGAAGAAGATGTGTCAAGGTGTATTTAAATACACGTCTTCAGGGTTAGACCCTCAGTTGGCTTCTGCCTTGCTCTGAAGTCAGTGATCTATGCTGGGTCACACCTGGTGACAGTCCATCCATTGGTTTGTATGGGCTGAATCCAACAGAAAGACTCCAAATGGGGTTTTTTGCAGGCTTTGGATCAGGCCTTTCATAATATGTACGCTGTCCCAAAGGGTTGGGCAAGTCTCTCTGTCTCCCCACCTCCATTCGGAAACTTAATAATCTGTTCTGATTGCTTTAACTACCTATTAATAGAAGTGAAATATTTTTGCTGGAGGCTAGTAAAGACTGGTGAGAATTTACCAAGGGAACAGGTTTGCCCCAAAGCCTCTTAGTTACATACCAGATTAGTGCCAGATTTCACAATTCCAGCAGTGTAATGTAAAAGAACTCAGGGCTAAATTTTGAAGCAAATCTTTGTGGGGAAGGGGAACAGTTTTCCTTAAAGCTCTGAGTTATTTCGAGCTGGAACACAAAAGATCAGTCTGTTGTTTATGGATGAGCCATCATTAATCTTCATCAGTTTAGTTGAATGGGACTGATGTTTTTGGCTTTGTGGTGGGCAAAGATACGCTTTGTGTTACTTGGTAAGAGTGTGTGCATGTGTGAGAGATGTATATGACACACACACACACGTGTGTGTGTGTGTATGTATGTATATATATGTGTGTGTGTATGTATGTGTATATGTGTATGTATATAATATGATGTACACACACACATACACACACACACACACATATATAATTTTTTTGCAATGGACATATATTTTGCAATACATGGCCACATATTGGTACCCTAATCTGGTGTCTTGCTGGTCATCTGGAACCTAGCCCAGGACCCAGTCCTGCCTAAACAATAAATGCAAGTCCAGTCAATGCATCTCTGCCTCCACAATTAACGCTCCCTACAACGAAACCATCAGAATCTATGGATCATAAACATGTCTATCCCAGATGCCCTCGTGGCAACCATGTGTGTGAAACCAGACACAAACTGCATGCCAAAATGAATGAGCACCAGAAAAAAAAATAAAGGACATAGACACTGGAATGCAGGTAAGAGAGCATTTTTCATAGAAAAATTGCTCCCATGTCTGACTCACCGTTCTTGTGCTCAAAGGAAGTCTACCCAAATCTTGTAAGGACAAGACCATCTTGGGCACAAAAATTCCCAAGCAACTTAACATAGACAATGACTATATGGTCCATTATAATCCATATGGTAGTCTGTAACCTCTGCATTTCTTCGGTGATAAGGACCCTCCTGAACAATCCCGTTTCCTCCGTTATCAGGTCTTGACTGCATCTCTTCTGCCACTTGGCTACCTAATAATTCCTCTTATATCCTGTCTCTCAGAGGCCAAAGGAAGGCTACTGTGGTTCCCAAAAGCTTGCCTGTGTCTATCCCATCCATGGAGTTGGTTCAATAAAAGAGATCAGCCATAGTTCATGGTTACATGTCGGGCAGCTGGTGAGTTAGCACTAGTGGG